ATCCTTGCCGTACTTGTCCTTGATGACGTTCTTCAGGTTGTGGTAAACCTCAGCCCTGATGCGCATGGCTTCTTTGAAGCTTGCTGCTCCGACAGGGAGGATCATGAACTCCTGCATAGCCAGCTTGTTGCCAGCATGAGAGCCACCGCTGATGACACTGAAAGCGGGAACTGGCAGAATGACTTCAGAATTGCCGGCCAAGTCAGCAATGTGCCGATACAGGGGGACCCCCGTCTCAACGGCTCCAGCCTTGCAGACAGCAAGAGACACTCCCAGAATGGCATTGGCACCAAATTTTGATTTATTCTCAGTTCCATCCATCTCAATCATTAGCTTGTCAATCTTCTCCTGTTCCACAACATTCAGTTTCTTGCTAATCAGGGCAGGCACAATAGTTTTATTGATGTGCTCAACAGCCTTTGAGACACCTTTCCCCAGATACCTAGTCTTATCATTGTCCTGGAGCTCCAGAGCCTCATAGATACCAGTTGATGCACCACTGGGTACAGCAGCTCTGAAGAGACCTTTCGCAGTATAAAGATCAACCTCAACAGTGGGATTTCCACGGGAGTCAAAGATCTCTCTGGCGTGAATCTTTGTAATAGACATGGTGAATTTCTGGGAGGCCGATTCTCGTCACTCAGGAAAGCAGTGGAAGATGCTGCGGACACCAAGATGAGTGACTGAGCAAAGAGGTGGAGGAGCAGCGACACACAGGGATTTTCTCACATAGTAAGAATTTTTTAAAAATGCTTTTATACAATGAACAATTTTATATCAATAAATTTGAAAACTTAAAAGAAATGGACAAATTACAAGAAGATATAGAACTTAAAACCAGTCTCAAGAAGAAACTAAAAATCAGAGTAGGTCTACACCAATGAAAAAAACTGAAACAATGGTTTAGAAATCAACTCATAAAAGGGGATATATATATTACACATTTTATTCAGCAGACATTGATGAATGCATTTTTTATATCTCACATAACCTGTTTTTCACCTTTCATGATTTTATGTTTTTGTTGGTTTTCATTCATTCATTCATTCATATACATTTTACCCTATAAACTTGATTACAATTAATTGATCAATTGCCTCCTCAAATCCTCACTGTACTCAGCCTATTATTCCTTCACCCTACCCATCTATTTACTAATCTGTTGCCTTAGTATTTTCCCCTTTTCTCTTCCACCCACCCCCTACTCCTTCTCCTCGCTTTCAGTATATATCTATCTATATCATCTATAACTATATCTGTCTTGTTTCAAGTTGTTACTTGTAGGTTCCATATTGTCTGTCAGTCCATTCTTTCCAGGTTCATCTTCCCTGAGTCTGTACAATGTCCATTGTACTTTCTATTTCTGCTCTCCCTGACTTTCTCTTTCTCCCTCCTGTTTTCACAGCAGTGTTCTTATACAGTATTTGTCATTTTGTGACTGAGTTAATTTACTCAGCATAATGTCCTCCAGACTCATCCATGTGTTGTAATTTTTACAAGTTCTTCTTTGTTTTCTTAATGCTGCATAGTATTCCATTGTGTGAATGTATCACCTCGCCATCCATTTGTTTGTTGATGGGTTTTTGGTCTGTTTCCAGCTTTCTGCTATTATGAATAATACTGTAATTAAAAGATATACATATATCTGTTTGTGTCTTAACTCTGATTTCTTTGAAGTATATTCCCAGTCATAAAATAGCTGAGTCAAGTGGAATTTCTATTTTTACTTTTTTGAGGAAACACCAAAGTACCTTCCACAGTGGTTATGCCATTTTACATGTCCACCAGGAGAACATGAGAGTTCCCATCTCACCAACACATCCTTGCTAACATTTATTGTTTACTGTCCTGATCTCTTTCATTGATCCACTACACTTCCAAGCATGATATCCTTTTCCAAGAAATAGCCTGTCCTAACAACATGTCCAAAGTATGAGAAATGAAGCTTTTCCATCTTTGCTTCCAAGGAGCATTCTGGCTGCACCTTTCTCAGGACATCCCTGTTCATTCTTCTGGAAGTTCATGGTATATTCAGTAGCTTTCTCCAACACCACAACTCAAAGGCATAAGTTCTTCTGTCATCCTTATTCATTGTTGTTTTGATTTGTATTTCTGT